TACTTTAATAATGGAGCCTTTACTGACGCCCTTCTTTTCTTGAAGTTAATCGTGGGGCAATGATCTCCATTTTATGACATCAGTCAGCACTGCCTTTGTTAGTTTCTTGTTTTCTTTCGACACATTGGTGACTCATTTATCAACCTTGGAAGAAAAGCGAGTGACCTAGACTGGGGCTTCAACCCCGGACCTCTTTGTTCTGTGTTCACCCGAGCAGTCCCAGTGTAAAGCAATGTGTGGTAAATTTCTAGTTCAAGTTAGTGGTTAAGGCAAAAATTACCATCTACCAGAATCTAACCAGGCGCCTGCAGAGTTCGAAGCTGACCTTGCAGGCACTGTGCCATCACGCAGGGAAAGATTAAAGTTAGGGACTACGTTTAAGCGACCTGATCCGGTCCTGAGACAGCGACCTGTCATAAATCTTCAAACGGTCGGCTGGTGACGCTATGGTACTAAGGGCTGATATAGTTCATTATGCTTTTTAAAACTGTGCTGTTCAGAAGGACTATTTGATTATTACACCGAAACGGAACTGATCCCTAAGGAAAGCAAGACAAAATCTTGTTACAGTAGATACTTCCTGAAGAGAGAAAGTCAACTTAAAGGAGAAGGAAAGGAAGACTCCAACAGTGTAGGACAAATAATGCGTAGAAATGGAACGAAATCAACATCTGATCAAAATCTGAAAATTTCAGCGTAACAGAGATGTTAAAATTTTATTGAAGTTTCCATAGCTAGGAGTGGAGAATGATATGATAATTTACCCTGTAGATGCTATCAAAATGCTTGTTGAAGCAGATTTTTTATGGCAATCAAAAGAGAAACAAACAACTGAAACAGTTTATGCTGTAGGTTCATGTCTACGCATCTTTCCATAACCACTGTCTAGCGTTAATCCAGCGAAGACCATGATGGCACCTAACCACTGACTAAGGGTCAGCGGATTACGAAAATATATGACCGACGCCAGGATGGTGAAGAATTTTCTTGTAGTGGTGAGAACAGAACAGGTGAGAGGACCAAATTGCGAAACGGTCATGAATATGAAGTACTAAAATACACAATTCACTTCAATTTCGTGCCTCTACAAAGTCAGTTCAGAAATGTTAAAATATACCTGACCAAGAGCACTAGCTACTGAATAAGAAGCCAGATCAAACAGCAGGTTCGGGAACCTTTTCACGAATAAATAAAAGGAAAAAATTTCGCCACTCAGTAATAAACCTAAAGATCGCAAAATTATAAGCAATAAAAACAAAATGTACAACTTTTACCTATTACGGAAAATACTAAAGACCACAAGTTCATGTGCAGCATCATACGATTAGAGCTACATTCATAACGAGCTCTAATTTTATCTTGAATCGCCCCCGTTGTTCCATCCATCGCTAGCGAGAAAACCTAAACATTTAAGATTTAATGAAAGAATTGAGCTGAAATAATAAACGACCAGTTTTCAACAGGTCTAGGGAGGGAAGCCAAATGAAGTCCATCAGTGATTCACAAACACAAAAGGCATAGTAAACATAAAAAAGCCGGGAGTTAACAACCAGCAATTAGGCATCCACTTTGTGGATTACATCTAGGCATTGGATTCTGTCGAACGTAAGAAGCTTTCGATATCGATGCGGAACATTTGCTAATTAATCAAACAGTTGGCACTCCGTTAACAAAGAGCAGTTTCGAGGTCATCATGCTATGCTCATCTGAGCTAACATTTCTAATAAAACAGTGATGCAATCAGTGCCAGTAGCAAAAGGAGACGCTTCAAGAAAACTGGAAGAAAGTTTATCATAAACCAGTGATTTCAGACAATTACTATCGCAAAAATTTGGGCAGAATTGTAAGAGCAGACAAAGCAAGTCAGTCTGAAGAAAGCGCAATGATTTTAATTAAACATGGTGACAGAACTGATACCTGAATGAGGGTAATGGCTAGAAGGAAAGTCATTTTTTTCAGATCAGGGGAGATAGTCCTAATCAGAAGACTGCATTAATTTTCCCATTAACTGCAATTCTTTTGAGTAAAGAACTCACAGTGCTCTGGTACAGTGAAAAACGGGTATAACTGCACATAATTTGAACCTCATGGGCAGAACGAACAACACTTACAGTATGTATGATGGATGGCGCTACAATGTAATAAGTCAATTATTTTGATTATGAATAATAAAAACAATAATCACAGAATAGTCCGAAGGTTCACAATTCTGAAGCATAAGAAGCGTCACTAAGCTGAAACTAGTCTAATCTTTGACTTGACTTATCGTAAATCATAGTGCGAACTGTCTATGAAAAATGACACAAGTTCAGTGGCATAAGAAATGCTGTGCTAAAGATGACTGCTGCAAATCGAATCTTTACGAAACATCCCAAGCCAATAATTCAAGTTCAAAACAACCTGCTCCAAAGGTCTTCCTTCAAATACACAATAATTTGATCACACTGTGAGAAATAGCAGAGAATATCAAAATGTATTTCTGAAAGGTATCGTTTTTCAACATTTGAAAAGTACTTTAAGGATTACTCCGCATATTTAATTTATTACGTACAAGTTATCAAAAGCTTCGGATCATACTCGATCCCTTTTCAGGGAGCGACATATTACTGATAAGATGTTGCGGCAATTACTGTAAACAGATGAAAGT